TTTGTTTGCTTGTTGCTAAAGCACCTTACTTCTAATTAACCGAATGATTTAATTAACATTAGGCAGAATCAGCCTGGTTTTGCTCCCTTAGGGGATAAGGGGAGGATAGCAGGCAAGGCAAACAGGTAACATCCTCTTCTGACACTAATTCTCCAGGGCACAGTCCTGATTTCTGAAGGCTGCTCCAGGCTATCTTCTCCACACGCTTTGAATGTAAGGAAGAAATAAAAACAGAGTGTGAATAAAGTTCACATTTGGGGAGGAAGGTTGGTTTTGACTGACTATTTGTTTCATCAAACGGTGGCGGGGAGTTGGGGGCATTTTCTGTGAGATCATGAACAACTTTGGGACAGCTTAAGGCAGAACCTGGAAAAACAAACTCAATGATCTTTTTTTCTTTCAGCTGAAAATGATGTGTACAGTATTATCCTTTTCTATCATGCTGAGATTCTCATTATTCAGAGGAACAAGCATTTGCTGCTGCAGATTTCATGTGCATGGATCAGAAAAGTGTTAATGGACAGCTACTGGTACCATCCAGGCCTCCAGCCAGACCTAAGTACAACAGTTTTATAATATGCTATCTAACACATATCTAAAATATGGTAAGTTTGTAAAATATTCACAGCAATATATTCATTGCTTTTACTAAATGTGGATTTGTCAGATTTTTGGCATTGCAGAGAGCATCTCTGTGAAGCACAGGGCCAGAAGTATTTGGGTAAGGCACAGAGAAATGAAATATTTGCTAGGTAGCCTCAGCCTGGCTGCATGGACACCTCATCTGGCTGCAGTTTGAGCTGTCTTCTGCCTCTCCTCCCCAGCAGGCTGGCAGGCCACTTACTGGGATCATGCTTCCTCTAGGTCTGGTTAAATCTACTGCTTAAATCAGCACTTCGGATTTTTTTTTTTGTAATGTGTTGCTACTGATTGTTGTTGACAGGGAGAGAAAAAATGCCCTTCTCTGAATGCTACACGAGCTCAAAATATCCTGTCTTTATTATTTTCAATTAATACTGAGACTGAATAGTGCAGCCTTGGCACAGTCTAAATTGAGAACAAGGCGAATTAGATGAGAGATTACACATTTTTGGCATTCTGGCATTAACTAAAATAATTTAAGCTTTGTCTTTGGTGGTGGTCTTAAAGCAAGTGGAATGCGAAGGTGGAATTCAGGACCAACTCTGGAATACCCTGGTGTGAATTTCTTTCTTTAGAAGAGAGTGTTTAATTCCACATATTAACATGTTGGGCTATTTTACTAAAAGTGGAGTTACGCTGATTAGTTACACTACAGAAGCTAAAGTATGTACATCTGCTTGAAGCAGGCATTTAATGGCAGGAAAAATGGCTAACTTTGCTCATGTAACATTTCACTTTAAGGATCTTTAAGAGATACACATAACTGACACTACAGCTGGGAGAGGTTTTTTTTGGTTGTTGTTTTTTTTTTTAATAAGCAGAATTCAAGTTGTTTATTTTTTAAGTTACTTCCCTTCCCTCAGATAACAAGAATTTCACCTCCTTATTTATTACAAGAATTTAATCTCCTTCCTGGCCAAAATGAACTCTCTTTCCCCTAAAATAAAACTATGATGAATGGAACTAGAAAGGTAAATGCTTAAACTTTTTTTTAAATGTGCCATTACAAAACAAACTTCCCAGTATTGATTAAGCCCAGGTGGTCTGCTCACCCAGCAAACAGATATTTTACAAAGCTTTATTATACCTCATTAGAATTCAGTCCTTTAGAAGATTTCTAATTATATTGTCTAATAAAACTAAACCTTCGAAGCTATTTGCATATTATATGAAGAAATCTCATACAACAAACTCACAGTGGATTCAATTAACATAATAGCTAATTATATATCCCATCAGCCTTTAGAGTGGCTCAACATTCATGTTGCTCCTGTTTTAGCCTAGAGCAAAGGAGGTTTGAATTTTCACTTCTAAATATTGACTTTTAACTAATATCAAAAATGATTTGAACACTTTTGTGGATGAAAAGATAATGATTAAACTACATGAAACATTTTTAAAGACTTATTTCCAACTCATTGAAACAATTCCTTTTTATACCTAAACCTTCCCATATTATCCATTCCAAGTCTGTCCATATTTTATTTAAAAAATGACCAGATATGTCTAATTATTTTGACAAATGTTAGATTGACAGTTTGATTATTTTTAAACTGCCTCCTTCCTGCAGTTACACTTTGTATATTTTTCATTGCACTTTGTAATGCAATTGTATTCTTGGCCAATTGTGGTATCTATCAAGCAAGAAATTTAGGACTAGATTAACAGAGACATAGTAATGAACAGGCATTTGAGCACCCTATAATTGACTGTTATTAAGGTGTTGTCACAGTAGTCTGTAATGAATTCTCTTGTTTTCTTTTGAAATTGGATGAGATATTCTGGAAAAAAAAAAAAAAGAAGGAAAAAACCCCACAAAAACAAATGCAAAAGTTTCCTCCAACCTTCAAAAAAATGCCACGAAGAAACAAAGCCTTTTTTTTTTTTTCTTTTTAAAGATTTTAAATTATTTGAAGGTGCTTCCAATTTTGAAATACTCAGTAGAAAAAACAGGGAGGGAAGGAGCAAATTTTGTGACCTATGTGAAAACTTAAAAAAAATAAATTGTGTGTTCATCAATCTCCTTGCTAAATACAACGAAAAATCATATTTATATATTTTGCAAGAGATAGAAGATAAAGTTTGTTGCTGAGTACATGGTTTTCTCCCATTACAATGATGGCTGCCTTTTCATTCATATTTTAATGAGGTTAGTATCTCTGAGACAGCTTTTTCGGGGTGGAGGCCCATGTCTCCGGTACAATTACAATAGGAGTTGCTTTATTGACAAGTACTATTCAAAATCTTCACAGTATAGAAAGAAAGGCTTTAGTTTTCCACCACTTGTCCAAATACTTATTCCTCTCTTACTATTAAAACACTTGCAGAAAGAGCACTCTCAACTGCCTGGAGCCCTGTACACCGGGCAGAGCACAGCTCGGCAAAAAAATACTTCTCTTAAATTCAAGTTGCATTTATGTCTGCAAAAATTTCCCTCGGTAAAACTCAACAAATAGACAACAGAAACTAACAGATAGTCTTGGCAGCTTCTGCATCCATAGGTTTACAAGAAACAAGCTCAGATAAATGGTACTTCCTACCCAAACTGTGAATCTGACTCCAAACATATGAGAGAAGACAAAGTTATGCAGAGATTACTCATCCAATATATAATTTATTAGACAGAAACAAAAAAAAACATAAATCCAGCTCTTGGCAGGTTAATCTCTTGTGCTTTATTTCATCTTCTCTACGTCTATGCTATCTCTCAAATACTTTTCATTATTGTAGCAAGGGAATACAGCCTAAATCTAAATATGATACTAAATAAAAGCCTGAACCACATCCCAGAAGTGCTAGCACATGAACAAAAACTTACTTTTGGTGCATCCAAAAAAAAGTTCACACAGCAAAACCCTCTCTTGTAAATTTGTGGGGGTCATCACATGAATTTTGAGGGTTCATTATTTCTTGAATACATTTTCTTCCAGCTCAATCCTTGGCTGTGGTGCACAAGATAACATCCAGGAGAAGGCAGTGCCCTGTGTTTGGGCAGGGTACCCCATGGCATCCACAGGCTTTGGCTCATCCACACCCACACCTTCCTGACCAGCCAGGAAGCCACAGGAAAGGGTGCTGGAGATTCAACTCCTGATACACACCTGAATACTGGTGGGAGTACAGCCATGGGAAAATAATTTTTTTCTAAATTTGCAGAGTAAAACCCTTTTGCTAGAGATACTGAATCTCTCTATGTGAAAAGAAACACAGCCACGAAAAGTGCCTTTACCCATCAACTAACTTAAGTTATTCCTGGATGTAAACTTAGAAAGAGGATGAAATTTAGTGCAATTTATTGCTAGAGCAGTCAGATTGAAAAAAGAAAAAAAGAAAAAAAAAATATCCCTCCCAGAGCAACACTGACCTCAGTAAAAGGGATGCCAGGGCTGAAATTAGACTGTGAGGTTGATTCCCACCTTCTGTCGTAAGGTCTATAAAACCTTCCTTCCACATTCACAGGTGGTTTTCTTTTTCTACCTTCAGAAACTGCCACATATTTCTGGGAATTCTAAGGGGAAAAATGCTTGCTCTGTGCCTGAGCTGCCAGAGCCTCTGCAGTCCCTGTCCCGGCGAGAGGAAGAAGCAGCAGAGTTTGAAGCACAAGTTTCAAACTCCCCTTCTGCCACCACCTTCTCCCTCCACCAGTTTTTGTTTTTTTCCAGTTTGCATAACATTATGTTTTCCTGAAAAAAAAAAAAAATTGCATCCCAGTGAATGTGATGGAATTTTAATAGCAAAACATGGTTTTGTGTGAGACTGTCTTTTTTTTTTTTTTTTTTATGCTGCCCTACTTTTTTTTTTTTTTTTTAAAGGCTGCTGTCTTTTTTTTTTTTTTTTT